TCTGCTTCTTCGGTTGTTGTGATTACAATCAGGAAGGCTTCATTTCCTTTCTCGATCATCTTGTTAGCCTTCAGAGCTGATATAATGGGGTACACCTTCCGTGATCTGTTCCCAACGAACTCGAATCCTCCGTTCTCCTCAGTGAACCAGATGGTTCGCTGACGGCAGTCAATCTGGGCTTGATGTTTCGATAACCAATCCATTCCCAGTATTAGGTCGTAACCCCGGATAGGTACGACGATAAGATCTGCAGTCAACATCCTCCCACAGATAGTCAAGGGCATGCAATGCAAAATCCCCTGTACTGTAAGAGTCTGTCCTGCAGGTGTACACACCATAAAAGGTGTAGTTGTATCGATCTCCATGATTGATAACTCTCCTGCCTTTTTCTCACTCAAGAAGCTATGTGTAGCTCCTGTGTCAAACAAAGTGAAGCATGCAACATCGTGTATGCAAATGATACCTGTGATAGCGGCAACATCGTCCTCCTCCAGATAGTCTTCATCAGTGGCCTCGTAGGTGGCCAATGGCTCTGCAGCAAATGGCTCCTCCACTGTGTATGGCTCCTCCTGGGCATCTTGCTCAGCTGTGAGAGCATAAACTCTCGGAGCAACACCGGATCTCTTCTGCGCTGGGCGTGGAGGCTTGTTGTTGGTTTGAGGATCTAGGTTCGCCATGCATCTAGCAGCAAAGTGCCCTGGTTGACCGCAACGGTAGCATGACATGGTGTTTCCACAGGGTCCAGTATGGTCTCGACCACACTTAGCACATGGCCTCCTATACTGTATTGGCTGAGCTGGGGTAGTGGGACGATACGCCGGAGCCTTCCCCTTGTCGCGGGGTTGATTCGTCTGTCCAACTCTCACCGGAGGACGGTTGATTGGCACTCTCCTGTAGGGACCACGGTCTTGTCTCTTGGCTTCCATCCTCTCCTTCTCACTGCGTTCCACCTTGTCGAGTTGGTTGATGTACCGACTCAACGTGGGGTACTCATGACACTCGATCATTCTCCTGAGAGAAGTACGTAACCCAGCAATGAATTTCTGGATCTTGTACTCCTCGGTCGGCACTAGGTGGCCTCCATACTTCAGCAGTCGGTTGAATTCCGCTTCGTACTCTCGAACGGTCATGTTCCCCTGTTCGAGACGAAGGAATTCCGTAGTGCGGTGGCTCTGATCTTGCCTCCGGTAGTACTTCTGCTCGAACTCTGCCCGGAACTCTTCCCACGAGAACTGGTGTCCTGCGGGAGCTTCACGTACAACCTCCTCCCACCAATGGCG